CTTAAAATGAAATACCATTATCATACTTTGCATTTCACTGATCACTGCTGGAGTTGAGTGACATCTTTTTATATATTTAGTATCCATTAAAAATCTATTCATTTTGTTGAGCCTAGTTAAAAATGTGTTTCTTTTTTCAGTGATCAATGGGAATTTTTTATGTATGAGTGATAATTAACCTTTGATTTCTTATTTATTTTGGAAATATTGTATTCAAGTGTGGTAGTTTGTCTTTTGAAAATGTCTAAAGCATTCTTGATAGTATGGAAGTTCTAAGTTTTAGTTGGTAAATGTGTAATATTTTTTTCTTTTATGCTTCTTATGTTATATGCTGTGCTTGACAAAGCCTTTCCACAGTAACATTATAAAAATATTTTCTATATTATTTTTCCTTTTGTAGTACTAATATTCATGCTTAAATTTGGATCTTAAGCCTACCTTAAATTTATTTTTGTGTGTGAGGTAAGGTACAGATCTAATTTCAGAAAACAATTTCCCCAAAGGAAGACATAGCCGATCAATTCTCCTGACTTGCCTGTTGTCCAAATCAAAGGTGCATATAATGCATTGTCACAACGCATCTATCTGAACTGTAGTCAGAGAGAAAATAATGTTATTCTTATTTAATCTATTTAATGTAGAATCAGTTGTGAAATTCCATAGGTCTTACTCTCGTGACCTAATAGAGTGTTCTATGCATAGCAGTGATTAAAAATATTGTTGACTTAAAGAAGAGGTGAGAGAAAAGAATGTCAGGAAGAGTGTAACACTAATTATGTCTTCGAAGTTAAGCTGGTAGAATAAGATACACTCTATTGGGCTATAATTGAGTAAGAATCATGAGAGAGGAACAAAGTGAAGTCTTAGTTTTTTACCATCCTAACAAAGTGTTTATGATATTTAAAGTTTTTAGGAGATAGTTCATGTATGAAGTAAGACTCTGAACACCCTAGTTAATACTGAATTTAAAAATTTTAATATGATTAACACCACAGCTAACAAAATAATCATTGGAGTTCATTGATGTTGATGGTCTCTTCCTAAACCAGACATAGGAAGCTTACAAAAATGAAGAAAGAATGAACATTATAAATATTAGTCAGATTTACATCTTTTCTCTTCAATCATAGTCCGTGTCTATTACATTCTAAATTAGGGTGAAAGCAGGGACCAAATAATTGATAAAATGCCACAGCTTTAAATTGATTGTGTTAGTATAAATCAACAGAAAGAATGAATTTGAAGAGGCTGAAATAACTACCTATGACTTGGTTAGCATTTAAACCTTTTGGGCCAAGGGAATCACTAATGTGGCACTTTCAGGGTATTTGATTTTATAGGCTTCTTGGCCCAGGAGTTTTAAAAAATACAAAAAGGGATGTGGCCTTAGAGATAAGAAAGACATCAGGCAGTTACTGTGAAGCTGCTTTGATTTTAAATGGCCTGTTCCCAAGTTCGAATCCACGATCGAGTGGTAGAAAGGCCTTGGATTTGCTGACAAAAAGGTCAGATGCTCAGTAGCTATTACCTTAAAATAGGAATTAATAGACAAATAGGCTATGGAAGTTTAGATCCTGTGTAATCACAGGAGATTGGAAGTGGAGAACTGGATTGAGATAATCATCTTGTTAACTTGAAGCAAAATTAAAGTTCACCTTTAAAGAGTCAGATCATTAATGCCAGAATATAGGTTATCATTCACTTACATGATAAGGATTAAAAAAAAGTAACTAAAATTTTACACACTCGATTTAAAATGTTATAATGTATGAAGTTTCATTTAAACAAAAATTTTAAATATGCAGAAAACTCTCAAGGAAGGTACGGAAAAAAAGTCCCCCTGAATATTATTATTTAAAAAGAAAGCATCTCTTTGTTCCTCCTATCTAGAAGAGAACTTGCATCTGTCTCTGGTATGCTGATCAAAGAAAAAGGAAAGGAAAAGATATTAATATGCATCATCTCAAATTAAATGTCTCTACTTCTCAGTTATAGCCTGTCTTTAGTATATCCTAAATTAGAACAAAAGCAGAGACCAAACTAATGTATGAAATGCTAAAACTTTAAATAGCTTCAGTCCAGGTAGATCAACACAGAGAAGCATAATCTTGGGGAACTAACCACAGTCTAGTTATCATCAATAAGAAATTTCTACCTCTAAGTTTTCAGGGATAATTGCTACTTATTGATGTCCAAGAGGGAACTGGTTTTCCAATGGAAGCTTCCTTTCCCCTGTTAGCATCTGGGTCACTATCACTGCCTTAACCAGGCTTGACTCAGAAAGTTATAGTACATTGATTCACCAAAAGGCAGTGGTAAGGTGTGTTCATAACCCCACTTAGGAAACACTTCAGGGTTAGGAGAGAGTCTTACTCAGTGGAAGCATAGACAGTGAAGGGTTTTCTGTCTCAGCAGCTCGGAAGGATGTAGAATAAAGCCTGATAATGGGAAGGAAAAACTGGTCCGGATATTGATAACTTACCCTGCTAAATCAATCTCCTCTGCCTGAGACTTTGAAAGGATCTTATTTTCAAATCTGATCTAAATCATCCAAGTAAGTCGAGAAACCCAGGCACAAAACCAAATAACTAAACTAAAATACATGATTTGGACTTTATTCTCCAGGTACTTTAGGACAAATTATAATTTAAGAAAAAAGAGGCAAAATTTGAAAATTTTGTGTGTTTACCTCACTTTACTACAGCAGACATAGTCTTTAAAATGGAGAGTTCCTAAGAGTATAAAGAAAGCATAAATACATATAACTGGAGTACGTCTCCATAATATATTATCTAGTTTCAAAAGTTAAAATTCCCTAAAATTTCACTTGGAATCATACAAAAGGAAGGACATGCTATTTTAAAAGTAAAACATGTATCATGATTTTTAAAAAAACAGAGTATTCAAGTTGCGGCACATTAAATTGTTCTCATGTATAAATATATGGTTACTCCTTGATTCCTTTACTGTATTTTCTGGGTTATTTACATAAACTCTTTTTTTAACCCAAATGTTCCAGAACACAGCTTCTTGATTTTTTTTTCTGTTTAAATTTATAAATATATTGATTTTTTTTTATCATTCATTCAACAAATATTCATGAGCACCTAGTTGGAGTCAAGCAGGATCCTGAGTACTGGTAGTGTAATGGTGGATTAAAATAGGCACTTTTGTGGACACATGCAAATTAAGTCTAAGAAAAGAGACAGATACTACAAAACAACCACTTGGATGATAAATTATAAATTGAAGTAACCTCTAGGAAGGAAAACCATATTCAATGGAAACATTAAGTAGGCAGAGAAGGCACCATCAAAAATCACCTGAAAAAAGAAAATATGATCAGTAATGTTCAAAAATGTTTCCTTTCATCTATTAGTTACATTACCTTTAAAAGAATCAGAATTCAGTTCTGTCTGGGTTTTGTTTTCTGTTTTTGTTTTTAATACAAGTGTATAGTTATAGAAGATAATTTTTAACATACTCTTTTATAGAACTCTCAGTTTAAATGTGTGAACATTAAAGTTGAATATATGCTTACTTTCAAATGCTTTCCAGTTTTTTTATTGAAATGTAACTGACATGCAATATCCTATTAGTTTCAGGTGTACAGCATAGTAATTTGATACTTTTATATATCATGAAATCATGATGTCTAGTTACCCCCTGTACTGTACAAAGTTATTACAATATTATTGACTATATTCTTTATGCTATACATCCCATGACTTATTTATTTTATAGCTGGAAGTTTGTACCTCTTAATCCTAATCGCTCACCTATTTTGCCTGCCCTCCAAGCCCTCCCCAGCTGGTAACCACCAGTTTGTTTCCTATATCTATTGTCTATTTGTTTTGTTTGTTGATTTGTTTTATTTTTTAGGTTCCACATATAAGTGAAATCATGTGGCATTTGCCTTTCTCTCTCTGACTCATTTCATTTAGCATAATACCCTCTAGGTCCGTCCATGTTATCACAAATGGCAAGATTTCATTCTTTTTGATGGTCCATTGTGTATATGTACAACTTCTGTTTATCATCCATCCATAGACACTTAGGTTCCATATCTTGACTATTGTAAATAATGCTGCAGTGATTATTTGCATGGTGAAATGGGTGCATAGATCTTTGTAAATTAGTGTTTTCATTTTTCTCCAATATACCCAGAAGTGGAATTGTGGGATTATAGGGTAGTTTTAGTTTTGATTTCCTGAGGACCCTCCATACTGTTTTCCATAGTGTGTACCAATTTACATTCCCATCAGCAGTGTATGAGAGACCCCTTTCTCCACACCCTTACTAACACTTTTTTTTTGTCTTTTTGATAATAGCCAATCTGAAAGGTGTATGATGACACCTCATTGTGGTTTTGATTCACATTTCCCTGATGAGTGATATTTCCCATCTTTTAATGTGCCTGTTGGCCATCTGTGTGTCTTCTTTGGAAAAATGTCTATTCAAGTCCTTGGTCCATTTTTTAATCCAGTTATTTTTTATATTGTTTTGTAATTCTTTATTTTGTATATTAACTCCCTATCAGATTTGTAAATATCTTCTCCAATTAAGTAGGTTGCCTTTGCACTTTGTTGGTTTCCTTCACTGTGCAGAAACTCTTTGTGATCCCATATGTTTATTTTTGCTTTCATTGTCCTGGCCTGAGGATACTAGTCCAAGAAATGATATTGGAAGGACTGATGTCATAGAGCTAACTGCCTGTGTTTTCTTCTAAGAGTTTTAAGGTTTCAAGTTTTTAATCCATTTTAAAATTATTTTTCTGTTTGTTGTAAGATGAGGATCCAGTTTCACTCTCTTGCATGTAGCTGTCTAGTTTTCCCCACATCATTTATTGAAGAGACTGTCTTTCCCTCATTATATATTCTTGGCCCCATTGTCATAGATTAACTGACCATTTAAGTGTGGGTTTATTTCAAGGCTCTCTATTCTAAATGCTTTCCAGTTTTCTTAAGAGGTTGAATGGTGCTATCTTTGTTCTGTTCTAGGAGATTATGTGGTCATGTCTGTCTACTTTGACCTGAGCAGGAGAATGGGATACTTCACCATCCAGACCTATATCCCCTGCACTCTCATTGTCGTCCTGTCTTGGGTCTCCTTCTGGATCAATAAGGATGCTGTTCCAGCCAGAACTTCTTTAGGTGAGTCACATTTCTTTCTGTTGCAGGGTCCCAAGATGATTACCCATTATCAGCAATCTTTATTCCCCTTTCTAAATTGATTTGCTTTTAATTCAGGCAACAATTATAAAGAAATGCCATTTGTTTCATTTTAATAACTGGCATATTTTAAAAAGAGTTTAAAGTTTTCTACTTCTGTTTTCCTTAATTGCTTCAATAAGCTGGGTTTAGTAAATTTTTGAAATAAATTTAAGTTAACTAGACAGAAAAACCAAAATTCTTATTTCTATAGAATTTTTTTAATTTGGTCTCTGAGCAGTTATACGCTGTAGCTGCTCACACCAGCCTGTGAGAGCTGATTGCATCTGTCCTTTCCCAGTGTGGTCAGCCCGAAAACAGCCAAAGAGAAAGTACTGACCCCATGGAAATAGACAAATGCAAAAATCAGGGTTACCTTTTTTTTCTAGAGTCAGTTGTTTTACCCATTTACCAGCAGAGCACAGGCTATGGATTAATTCCAAAATGCATTATTAACTGTGATGACATTTGGAAACACACATACACATCCTTTGGCTCTTTGTAGAAGAACCATTAAAAATTATATTTTGTCAAAAATAATGTTAATTGAGAAACTCTGGGAACCTCCCTCGCACCAAACATTTTTTTTTTGCTTCTTTTTAATGCTTTGATTCTACAAAAATTACCCACCAAACACTTTTAAGATTATTTGCAGTTTGCTTAGTATGCTGTATGTGGTGAAACTTGTCTTGGATTTTTACATCTTTCTCCTCATATGAGGAAGTTTCACATAGATGATAACAAAGCTACAGACTCACAGGGACATTGGTGTCTAGGTCCATGAATGAAATTTTGACACTACAAAGACTTATCTAAGTAAGAATAAAGAAAGGTATTTAAAGATGAATTATAATATCACAATCCTCTTTTATCAGTTATGGGAAAACTAGAATCTCTTACTCTGCGTAGAGAGGCAATATCATGCAATAGTTAAGAGTTTGGGTGTTAAAGCCCAACAAATCTGGATTTATAATCAGCTTGGATAGTATAGCCTTGGAAATGACCAACCTCTGTAAATTAGTTTCCTCATATATAAAACACATACCATTTCTTGTATCCAATGTGTGGGGTTGTATTAGGTTAAATAAGTTATTTTGTGCAAAGTGCACAAAACAATACAGACTCAGAAATGTTAGCAACTGTTCTGACAAAATGCTCTGCACCAGGTTATTAAAACTGAGGGCAAAAGAGATTATTGTAGAAAAAAAGACATCATTTGCATATTTGTCCTCTTCCAAACCTAATTTAGTCTCCCATCTGTTTCAAAATAAGGTTATTTTGATTTTTTCTGCTATAGTCAGGACTTCATGTTACAAGTCCTATTCAACAATGATAATATCTTGTCTAATGCTACATGCTGAAACAAACCCAAAATTTGTTGAGCATATTGCTGTAGGACTGTTACTTGTCACTGTGAGTAGAATGTGTTACATTCCATGCTTATATGTTCTTCTTTGACATCAGAATGTGTCTTTTTCATTCCCTAGTATAGTGCCTGACACATGCATTGATACATTCCAATCTACCCATGCCAAAAATAGTTTAAGGAAATTATTTCAAATCAACCTCTTCTTTTGAAGTCCTGGCTCTTGCTGGTCAAAAGGTCTCTTATGGCCACTCAGATTGTTCATTTCAACCACTCATTAAATGGGAGCTTCTGGGCAAAAGACCATGGTGGGAGAAGGGATCAAGGTGACTGAGCTGAGGAATGAGGGAGAAGCCCCTGAGCAAACAGCAGGTAGGCACTCCTACTTGTTGATCATTTACTACAAGTCAGGTATTTTAATACGGTCCCCATTCTTTTCCAAATGTTCGCATCAACTGCATGTAGAAGTTGTAATGATAACAAATTTTATCACAGTGTTGAAGAGCTAAGGAAGCAGAGGTATGTTGCAGGGTTAAGCGACATTCACAAGGTCCCATAGCCAGCACATAGTGGATCTGTACCTTAGCAAATGGGATTGAGTTTTTCTCTGGCTGTGAGGTCTTTTCGAAGGCCAGTTCCGGGGAAAGGTGGGGAGTTGAGCTGAGCAGGTTTCTCAATTTTAACTTTGCTGTCTCACATCTCTAGATCAGTGCTTCTTAAATTTAACTGTACATTTAAGTCACTGAAATGCAGCTGCCTTAGTCCAATCCAAGAGATACTGATTTAATTTGTTGAGAGCATGGCTTGGGTGTCAGGATTAAAAAAAAAATCCCCAAGTGATTCAAATATGTGATCACATTTTAGAACACTGACCTAGATTTCATCGAGTCCCTTTTCCAATGTTTACAATCGAGAGTTAAGCCAAATGACCCAAACCACCTATAGAATTGGAGTTTATTGCTATAGAATAGAGTCATGTTTTTTGATGAGTGAGCCACATAGCTCAGAGATTCTGGCTGCTTTTGGAGCTCAGACCACCAGAACATGGAGAGCAGTCATCCTGGGGCTTATAAGAATTGAACACAGTTTGGTACACGGGTGGTAGCTGGGGAGGTTTAATCATGGTGTGATGACAATGGATGAAACTATGAAAATACCAATGGGTATTTTTCACCCAAGTAATCTGAGGTAAGATAACATACCTGAAGACTGGAGGAATTGCTAAAAGCTATGGATAAGTTTCATCTATCCCAGGTAAGAGAAGTCTAATTCTTTGCTTAGCAAAACTGGACTTGAAAACCATATCAAGCTATCTTACTGTTGGCTGGTGAATCATTTAAAACTACTACTTCTCCACTCTTCATTGTTTTCTTCCTTGTGACTCCAGGCAGAAACCTGAAAAATATCATAAACAATTCTTCAAAATTCCTTCTATATGACTGTGATGAACTTCCATGCAGCCTAAATAACATCTTCCCAATTTGTTAGATAAATGTTTGACTTACATGTCAGTCATGTCAGATTCTCTTAAGTGGACTTACCTATGGTATCTGTTATAAATACTGACATTTTCACTTCTCATAGATCAAGTGTGGCTTGAGGCCTGAATGTGAAGTGAGGCCAAGTTGCCAGTTTAGTTTTTAAATTACCACCTAAAAATATCAGCTAAAATATCACCTAAAAATATCTGGGTACAACCCAGAGTTTCTACATGAATTAATGCATAGATAACCTAAGTAAAGCTTTTTTTTCAGTTTGAGAAGTAGATCTTTTTTCTCTTAAATAATTGAGAATACCTTACATTTATTGAGCCTTCAGTAGGATCTGGCCACTTATTAGCACAAAGTGCTTCCTCAGAGCACTCTGAGAGCACTCCATATGCCCCCACCTCCACCTCCAGTTTATAGAAAATTGACCATTACTAAGATTTTGACATAACAATATGGAAGACCCACAAACCCTTATCATATCCCCAATTACGAATCTGCAACAGCTCCCAAGTATCTAGGACTTCATGTTGCATATTTTTAAATTATTTGGAGAGGAAACAATATTGTTTAGAGCATAGCGTTTGAAGTCAGACTTCCTAGGCTTCTATCTCATCTCTGTCACTTACCAGCTTGGAAAAGTTTCTTATTCTTTCTCTGCCCAGTTCTTTTCACCTGCAAAAAATGGGTGACAGTGCTTAACTTATTTTGAGGATTTACTGGGATCATATGTAAAGTTTTTGACACAGTACCTGGCCCAAAGAAGAGATCCATAAGTGTTAGCTACTATCTCTCATAAGTCATCAATATAGATTCCTATTTTCAAATGTAGGTTGAGTCTCTTTAATCTTTCATATATATACACTGTTTATTGATTGTTTCATTTATTCAATCAACCAGTATTTATTGAGTGGTACTATACTCATCTATAAGGTCACAATAAATATCAAGACAGATGTCTGTTGTCACAGAGCATATAGACTTGAAAGAGAGAGGGATAATTCCCTAATCAATAACAGGGGTATGGGAAAAGGGCTGTAACTGTAGTTTACAACTACATTTCCCTTGACCAACCCTCTCCTCTATCAAAGGGCACTCAGCTCGGTGAAGTTATTTCAGCCAGCACCAATCTTTCCCTTCTCTAGAATTTCAAAACACAATATACACCAAAGAAACTTGATATTAAGATGAGATGTAATGACCCAAAAAAAGCCTTAAGGTTTTAGAAAAATACTTACACTCTTCAAAAATGGTTCTGACAAATAAAGAAACTCGGAAGAGATATGCCCACTTTTATCTCTGCATAACGCTTCTTCAGGGGTGCTTTGGCCCCACTCAGGCATCTCCTGTGAATACTGTAGTAGTGACCCATGCCTTGAAGAGAGAAAATCTTCTTTCTCTTTACCTGTGTGGGACTGCTGCTCTGGAGTTTCCTTCTCCCTTGATCCCCAAGGCTCTTGTGACTGATTCCTTCTGAGTTTGCCCCGTACCTCCATTTGAGTCAGGGGAAGTTGATTGTAATAGTCAGAATTGCATGGCATTAGATGATGGACATGTTGTCCCCTCATATCACCCACATCAGAAATGTAAGTCACAAAGCTGGAGATGGTCATGACTTGGGGCTACTGCTTTTGGAGTACAGAGAGTTGCTTCCAATCAGGATAGAAAATACTGAGTTAGAATCATAGAATGATAATATATGGGTGGACCTTCACCTTCAAAGAATTAGTCCTCCTGATGAGGAAACTGAACCTTAGATTGTTAAGGTGGTTTAAGTTCCTATCCTTGGAGCTAGAGCCACTGAAATACTGAATCCATGTTGTCTTTGTTATAACTAACACAGCTTTTACACAAGAAGAGACTGAGCCTCCCCTGGCTGATGCATATGTATTGTCTTAACTTTGTTCCCTGTCATTAAACAATCATCATGAAGGGTTAGCTTGCTAGAAGGGTTTTGAAGTCAGACATTGAATCCCTGTGTCAAATCTTTATGCTACTTTACTGTTGAATGTGGAGCCAGTCTTTTAGCCTCATTGCCTTCAACTATAAAATCAAAAGGAAAATATTTGTTATAAAGATTCAAAGAAAGAAGGTACATAACGTACTTCTCAGAATGCCTGGCACAAGGAAGTTTTGATTAAAAAATTAGTCATTATGTTACATCTTGAGATACTTATTTTCATCCTATAGTAGTCTTTAGAAAATTCACCAATCAGAACATGTCACTGATACATAACCTACCTCCTCTATTTAACACCTTGAAATAGCTTCTCTTTGCACTTTGAATAAAATGCAAACTCCTTCGCATGCTCTGCATGATGTGACTTGATCCCCCTGCCCCTCCCCAGATGCTAGGTACTGTAAAAACTCCATGACAAGGTTTTCCTTCTTCAGAATCTTCCTTTATTTGCTCTGCTAAAAGTAAAAAAGTTGGTTTCTTCTTATTTTTTAAAGCTTCACCTTAACTATCACCTCCTCAGCACCCTGCTATTCTCCACAGCAAATACTGTAATTTGTAATTACACTTCCGTTGCTCACTTGACCCTTAGTGTCCTCTCTCACTAGTTTATTTCTCACCATATACTTAGTGCCTGTCACAGAAGCTAATACATGGCAGGCAGACAATAAATATTTGTGGTCAAAGTGAATGCATTGCCTCCCTTCCCATGACTAAGGCTGCTGATCAGAAGTCACAAACCAGGTTTGCTACCAGTACTGACTCAGTTAAGCCACATGCTGGTGTGGTCACATGATCTGTTTCACTGTGCCTCTCTTCAGGGATCACCACGGTCCTGACAATGACCACCCTCAGCACCATTGCCCGGAAGTCACTCCCCAAGGTCTCCTATGTCACAGCGATGGATCTCTTTGTGTCTGTTTGCTTCATCTTTGTCTTCTCTGCTTTGGTGGAGTACGGCACCCTGCATTATTTTGTCAGCAACCGGAAACCAAGCAAGGACAAAGACAAAAAGAAGAAAAACCCTGTATGTATCATTTCCCATGGGACCACTGAAATTTCTATGCAGAAAGACTCCCCAGTTTTGTTTGGGTTTAGTCTTGCTTAGCTTAGCTGCAGGCTGAGACTCAACACTTCGGGCTCCAAGATGAAAACAATGTGTGAGGTCAGCCAGGCCATGAGAATCCATAAGCCACTCAAGAGAGAGCTGATTCACTAAGTAGACTTTTGCTCTCTTTACTCCATGGGAATAGAACCCCTGCCAACAAATGCCTCTATTTTCTAGTTGCTATTATTCTAGGTTTCATTGATTTTTATCTTTCTGACCCTTACTATAATATTTTCAAATTATTGGTGTTTTGAATTAAAATTTTCCTTCAAGTCTCTTTATGGGAAGCTACATGGTTCCTGAAGTTTCAAGGCTCACTATACTTTTGCAAATAATTTTGTGTGCATTGCCACCAGATGACTTCTGTTGGTTTCATATGCAAAATGTATCTTTTTGTTTTAAAAGAAATGACTCATCTATTGTTTGGGCAAGGTACCTAGCCTCCCTGTATCTTTGTTTTCTCATATACAAACTGAATAATATACAAAATATTTTAGGGGCTGTTGTGAGAAAGAAGGCTGGTAAGGAAGGTGAATAGCATTACATGGTACCCTACACATGAAAGACCTTTCCATTAATAGTTGATGATGATGGTTGATGTTGATGATTTACACAGTTAAGAACCTGGATTGATTTTGGTGATTTGGAAACCGGTTGGGTGATCCACCTTGCCACCAAACCTTAAATAGAGATGATGAGGCACAAATATAAATGCCTAAAGCAATTGTCTTTTATTACAGATGTTGAAGAGAGCAGGTGGCTATCCATTTACCTACCTGAACATAGTGTGTGGCTTATAGGAGGCCCCATGGAAGTCAATGCCCCTTCCCTTCCAAGATAGGCACAAAGGAATTCACTCTAGCCTCCTGAATTTATAGCCTTTCCTGTTCTTCTGCTGTAGAGGCCTTAAGAGCCCTGATAAGAGCCCAGCCATCTGCCCCAAGGACTGTGGGGGGCTGAATTATAATGAGGGAATCTAGTTGATTCTAGGTTGAATCCTGATACATCTCCTGGAACCCTGGTGAAATCCTGCAAATGGCATACATTTCTCTTTGAATGTAAAAATTTGTAACAGGTAAAGTAAGAGGCATCATTACTCTTGACAACTAACATGAAAGAAACGCTTATCTTTAATTTCCCAAATATTCACTATGCTTTAGGTAGCCCTTTCCTTCCTTACCTGTTTTGCCTCTCTCTGCCTTTGCATTTTCTCTATCCTTATTTTACTTTCCTTGTTGTGTTGTTTTTGTTTTCTCCCCAAGAAGATGGTTCTATTGACAGTCAACATTATTTACCTGCCAGCAGTAGCAAGGATGGGAGGGCTAGCTTTCAAACAAGTCTGAAGAGCCCATTTGCCCTCTCTAGCTGCATCATTACACAAGGGATTCTGTTTCAGAAATAGACACTTGGATTGCTTGATCCAGGGTCCTGAGAATGGCAGAAGAAGAAAAGGCAGAGGAGAAAAGGATTTAAAAAAAATGAGAAAATGAAATTACCCAAGGATTTCATGCATTTGCCCTTCTTAAGCCAATTAGATGATTTATCACAGCTAGCAAGAACCTAAGCTGTGAATGAGAAGCTGAAATTTCATTTTCCCATTTAATATGCCCTTTGGTTCATTGTGGGTCAAGACACCTATTAAGACTTCTTCATGATAATTAGAAAATAAGATCACAGTGTTGCATTACAGGGAAATCAGGCAATAGAAAGCTTCCTCACAAGTGAATAACACTGACTCTTGAAATTTGATAATTGTGGATTAAGTCATTGAAGATTTCACCAGCAATCACCAATTTCCAACTGTAGGCATATACTTTATTCCAAGCTCAGAAATGTCTTTCTGTGTTTATAATTTCAGTTTATTTCACTTACTCTGTTTTCAAAATGTATTTTTAATTTATCTTATTTTGTCTCTTTTTTCTTTTCTTTTTTCCTTTCTTTTAATTAAAAAAAATGCAACTCTATTTTCTGTCTACAAACCCAAAGCTTCTTCGGATGTTTTCCTTCAAGGTATAATGTTTTTGGAATGGAAATTCACTGCATGCAACTGCTGAATTTAACTATTAATGCTTACATGGTGTTTTATTTTATTTTTTAATGAGTAGACATTTGCCTACAGATAACACATCTAAGATAAGGTGCTATATAGATTTCTAGAGTTGATTCAGTAACTCCACACTAATTCACAGAAGTTTTGTGAAGCTCAAAAGCTGTAAGCTCTGTAAGATGTCATTGGTGAAGAGGGCCTCTTTAAACATCAAAGCCAAAACTTACCCTCTCTTCTTAGATGAAATGGGATCCAATTTTATTGGCTATACCAATGAGATAGCACATATGCCCTTACAAGGTAACTCTGTAAATCCTAATTCAAAACAGGATTGTTTTACAATAAGTAACTTTAACAATCACCCTCCTTTGGTCTGAACTCTACCTGTTCAGTTCTATAAAAAAATAATATACTCTTTGAAATGCTTTAAAACACCCATCTTTCCAGGGTGACCTAGTGGCTTCCCAGCGCTCTCATGCAGTATGGCAATGAGATTCCTAGTTCCAGTTGAATTCTAGTAACTGATTTATAAACACAAGGATTTATGTTATCCTAAAATTAACTCCTCCAGTTAATATTAAATAAATCATTGAGTTTTATAGCAATTTTATAATTGGTCCAGCAACAAAGATTAGTCATCAGTTAACTGGCATTAGTTTCCTCTCAAATGCTATCAGTTTGACAGGTAGTAACTTTTTTTCTGAATTTTCACTCACATGTAAGTAAACATTGCTGACATTCTGAAGCTCTTAGATGGTAAATGTTAGACAAAATCCTATATTCTTTTAAAACATAAGTCACTGTGATATAATCAGGAAACTTCTATATTCAATATTCTTAATAGAAAATGTTAATATATATATATTTATAAATAATTTGCTCAGTGTAATGCAGTTTACTATTTGCCTATGGGTAAGCATGACATAAAATTTGATTTCAAAATTAATGCATTTTTATTTCTCTGTTCTACTCACATGCAATACCATTCAGTGCCTTCATGTAACCAACTTCACATCTAATATTTACTAGAATACGATTCCATGTAGTTGTTTGATTTAAATCTTTAAACATTTTCTTTTGGTGTTCGATCTTGCTGTAGCTATTAGCTTGGTGGTATTATTTTCAGCTGCACTGCTTAAGCTCAAAAACTTGAAATCTGCAAGTGTGCTAGCCTTCTCAGTTCAATTTCACCATGTAGATCACGACGTCATAGCAATTTCCTGAGTACTCATTTTCAGATTCATCATTCACATTGGTGACATTGTGGAGAAAGAGTCTAGAATTTATCAAGTATCACTGACTCTGACCTTTCTCCTTCCCCACCCTTGTCTCAGGCCCCTACCATTGATATCCGCCCAAGATCAGCAACCATTCAAATGAACAATGCCACCCACCTTCAAGAGAGAGATGAAGAATATGGGTATGAGTGTCTGGATGGCAAGGACTGTGCCAGTTTTTTCTGCTGTTTTGAAGACTGCCGGACAGGAGCTTGGAGACATGGGAGGATACACATTCGTATTGCCAAAATGGACTCATATGCACGGATCTTCTTCCCCACTGCCTTCTGCTTGTTCAATCTGGTTTACTGGGTCTCCTACCTTTACCTGTAAGAGAAATATGAGTATAATTGGGTCTTATTCACTAAATTCCATGAGAGAAGATGTCCTTTGTAAGTCCACTTCAATAATCCCCTGTGTACCTTATAATGATCTGAATTTGTTTCTGTGTTCTAACCTGGTAAATTGTATTAATGGCATATTGTTTGCGCCCAACTCTCCTGTGGTAAGGGTGATTTGAACTATAATGTTTACTGTGTTTCAAACGTGCAAGGCAAAGTGAAATTAGAGCAAGAATATTGAAACCACAAGATAGTTTATAACAGTTGATATAGTGAAAGCCATGACTACTTACAATGGTGGTATCCTTACTCAATGCAAAATATAATTAGATGCAAAAGGTTCAGAACAGTACCTTATGTTCATTTGAGGTTGAATTGTGGTACAATTGATCCAAGTAGGATACTTCCCTCATTTGAGAAAGATCACAACTCACTTTAAGTATTATAAGAGACTAGAAATCTACTACACTGTTCCAAGACAGAAAGACAATCTCCACATTACATGTACAATGATGTAAATATTTCAATGAGGTAGAATACTTCAAGTTTAATGCATGCATCTCTTTAGAGCCAAAATAAATTGACTGAAGTTAACATCATAAAGCATTGTCTTATAATCTGTGTCTTTGGGCTATAAAAGTACCACGAATGTAATTAAAAGGGTTTGGTTTGGAATTGGAGGGAGGAATTTTCTATACATTCTCCCTCATGTATGAAGATTCAAACAGCTTGTTTTTTGCCTTGTATGACATATTAAGACACTAAGTAAAATATAGACTGAATAATTTACACTTGCCATTTTTAAATATGCCCAATTTCATAGAGTATAAGGTAACTGTATATGCTTGCCGCTATATTTTCCTCCTTTTAGGATGGTAGATCATAACAGAACTCATTCTCCATCTCAAGATCTGCTTCTAGTGACTATGAGTGCCTTGTGGCCAGAATCCTTGTCATACCCTCTTTGGGGCCTCGGCACCGTGTGTAGTGCCTGGCACGTAGTTGGTGCTCACTGAGTATGGTTTGAAGTGAAGTGGCTTCACCTGCTTCTGGTGACTCTCTCTGAGCCAGTCTGGAACCAATGATTCATTTTTTCACATAGGCCTTGTCAAGTACTATTTGGTCTTGTGAAAATAAGCAGAAGAAATCATAGAACTTTGCCTAAAATAACTTTTGGTAATGAACAAAAGTAGCCAAAGCCAATATTCCTTTTAAAGTCCTACATTTATGTACAGAACTGATCCTCCTAAGGCATAATAAGAGTTTGTGTATTATTTTTCCAGGCTTGGGGATGAGTCAGCTTTGACCCATTCACAATTCCACTTGAGCTCCTATGACAGACAGAAGGAGGATTCATACCTGACTCATGTTCACAAGGTAGTATTCTATGCTTTGTGAAAAAGAAATGCACTGAAGATTAAATTTGAGAAATGAAAGAACAAATGAATGACTTACATGGAGGTTGAGCCTATGATGGTGGTCTCATTCCATGTACACATACACACATGAAGTGGTGTCCCAGACTTCAACCATGATGTGTTGAGCTCCACCTTCATGTGCTCATCCTGAGTCCATATTTTTCTAAAACAGCACCCTTTGTCAGTTATTCTTTATGGCAATCATTGCTCTAAGCCAGAATTCAATCATAGCCAGTATAATTTTATAGATAATCTAAAAAGAGGAGAAAAGAAGAGAGAGTGGCTTTGTTAATATAAACCCATGTAAAGTCATCATTAAGTCATCTGGATGAATCTTGAAACACATATAGCTGCCAATTTTATGAACCTTTAATATATCAGTGTTCTAGTATATAACCTCAAACACATGTAAATAGAATTAGTTATTTTCTTGTTTTGAATTGTTAACAAATGTCAACTCTTTGGGAGAGTTGTTGGCAAATTTTCAATGGTGAGAAACGTTGTTATTGTCAACTTGAAATGTATTCTGTAATGGGGACACTCAAAAAAGCTAGCTTTCCAATGTGTGCATAGTACTGGCAATATGAATATATATTATATATAATCAAATTCTTAACTATCAGTTGCTCCCTGTTGATGTATTTGAAAACCTTTTCACAAAGGGAATTGCCTATTATGTGGACTTTTACAATAAAAATGCTGCATTTTAACCTATAGTGGCATGTCGGTGGTCTGGTTGGATTTTTTGTTTTATTAAAGATTTTGACCCCTCTTTCCAGTCTCATTCCCCAACACTCCCTTCCTATATGTGAGTTTATTTGTAAGCAATATGATGTTTTGCATGGTGATGCTCTTCACTTCAAAAAAATTAAGAGATATTTGGGGTATGGAGTGGAGATGGAAGACAGAAATGCTATGAAATGAGTAAAGCTCAAGCCTGTACCTCAGAACTTGTGGTATGATGAAGACTATGGACATTTGTGTCAGACATAATTGGGATCTGACCTCCATCACTTATTATTTGACAACTGCCAATTCAGCCTTTATAAACCTCCATTTTACCAGCTATAAATTAAGTGTAACACTGCCCCCCATGTAGTGACCCTCAACAAATGATCCAGCTCTCTCCCACTCCCATCAAATCTGCTCTCTCAGAAGAATCCAGCAGTTTTCATATATGTCTTAATGTGACTCTGCAGCATAAGGTTTCATTTTAAGAGCATTTGCACTGCAAACCTTCCTTGAAACTAAAACCATTGGTTAAAAATCTGAGTCTCTCGTGGAAAACAATCTCACATATTAGATTGGTTATTTTTAAGACTGAAGAACCCTTCTTTGTACACCCCAAACTTAAAAATATAGGGAGCCATGTTCCAGAGACAGTGTCATATTTTCCTGAAGTCCCTTGAAATTCTTAAAAGAAAAGTAGCATAATCACGACCTTCCTCCGCCTGTCATTCTCTTGGCCCTTCACGGCTTCGTACAGCCAATTTAAACATCTGTGATATCTCACCTTCCAGACATGGTAAAAAATAGATTTCACTTAGGTCTTGCCTTCTATCTAATTCAGTGCCCTTATCTTCAGCTGAGGGCATATTTATTGTATGGCTTTCATTCCTTTAGGCCTCAATATTATTCTGACTAGTAGCAACAATTTTTGTGATGAAGATCAAATTAAATTAACCAAATGATGCAGTCTTTGGGAATTATGTCAAAAATTGCTATCATCTCTATGTTTTTGTCACTATGGATTTTTGTCAAATGTGAGGGAGAAAGGAAGCTAAACCAATAACTCTATTTTTTAATGTTCATTGACTTGTCAAAAGTCACACAACTAGTTAATGGCAAACCTTGGAAAGCCACCCGAGCATTACTCTTTCTACTGGGCCTCATCGTGTTTTAGGATTTGGAAGTAAAATTCTGGGATACTTTTATCTTTCTGTCAATGCTCTAGGATCTGTCAGGTTTGAGGATGCCTTTCTTTGATTTTGACCTCATTTTGATTATTTTAATTGCAATGAGACAGACATTTTAGAATACCTAGCAAGAGAAATAAGTTGATGGGTTTTATTTTTCGTTTATTCTCTAATGACCAGTCTTCAATGTTACCCATGCTTTCAGAATTGTGATTGAAAGAAGGGATCTCCAATCATCTGAAAAATTTCAGGCCCCTAGTTGGCTTTGTCAATCAGAGCTTCGGGCAATATGTAAGCAAAAAGTTTCCTGTAGCTGGTCTCTACCAGCTCACTTTTCCTACTGTATCAGGAACATGGTATGAATGATCTACTATTACTCATTCTGAGGTTAGAGATTATAGTCCAATTACAAAATCCAGTTGTAACTTTCTCTTGCTATATTTGGGATAATAAAGGAAAGTTTTCCCTTTAATAATAATTTGTACAGCAAAATGGAAAAGCAGAAGCTCTTGCTCCAGATTACCTAGGTTCAAATTCTGGCCCTGTTAAGACCTATTATTCAACTTTCCCTGTCTCAGTTTCTCATCTGAAAAATGGGGATAATAATGGTTCATAACTCATGGTCTTATTGTAAGTTATAACAGAATTAATACCAAGAAATGATTGGATATTAGTTCTTTTTCTAAGCACAAATATGAAGTGTCAGAAAAGAAAAGGCACAAGCATTATAGTTGAAATTGCTTAAGAATGGTTATCATTTAGGAAGTTACTATTTTTCCATTTTGTGGAAGTGCAATACAATGAACATATTTACTGGCATCATACCACTGGGAATTTCATGTACATAAAGAAAATTACAGAGCTGAGTAATGGTAAGTATTCCCAAGTGAAACAGAATATCATTTAACATCACTATATGTGATACATATGAAGATACAAATGTAGATATCTTTTAAAAAGTAAAAATGATTTCCCTTAAAAATATAGAACTGTATTTTATATAAAAATAAAAATATGAATTTTATATAAAATATAAAAATATAGAAATCCCTAACGGGACTGCTAAATAAATAAATTTAAGTAACTATCAACAAATGTGCTGTTCACTTTTAATATAGTATTTTTTTGCAATATAATTAAGTCAATAAATTATTTTGTAGCTAAATTTACAAAATCTTTAATGAACTGAATATAAGGACTCAATCATTATTCAGGACTCTTCCTGTAAAAAAAGAAAAAATATCACTAGACCAGAGATACAGAATTCAAGTCACATCTGGGCATTTTCCTAAATATTCCTATCTTGGGAAACTCAGTCTCTCATGCGTAAATGAGTAAATGAGGGCATTTGTTTCCTTCTTCCGACCTCTCTTAATTCTATCACTCCTCTGGTTTATTATGATATGACGTTACTGATCACCACCTAAATTTCAGACTCCCCTAAACTGTTATAGCTCCACACATTTGTCTTATTTATCCTACTATCCTGGAGTCTTCTCTAAAGTAGTGCCATATTCCTAAAGTGCCTTTCTCTGCTCTGCACACTGAATAGTGGCTAATGGAAGATTCTCCCCCGCCCGTGAAGTCTTTCTAGTTTGACTACAGTACAATAGCCTGTTTTCTTTGATCTCTTCCAGTACTTTGTGTGATTTGTTTTAGTAGCTTATCCTAATGTTTATCTCAACTAAGTACTCACCTCATCCATTCCTCTTCATAAGCAAATCTTAAATAAACAATTCTGTGATATATGATATAAATAATTCACTCTCCATTTGCATTTTAAACTAGGTTATTTATCTTCTCTCTCCCTGCTATATTTGCCTTATAGTTTTTGAGTTACTTGTATTTTTTATAGGTCTAGACATAAGTCCCTCATCAAAGAAGTTTTGATTAAGCATGAATAATTTAATTCCGTATAAAGTTTTCAGTAAACACATACTGCGAGCCTCACATAGGGCACTCTGAGCACAGGAATAAATACACAGGAATAAATAAATACACAAAATCCCCAAAATAAGAGAGAAGAATCAGATAAGAAAGCTAGTAACTATAACAGAGCCATACAAAACAGTTGTAGATAGAAGCTATTAGTCAGAAAAGATTTTCTTTGCAATTTATAAAGAATTTTACCCTATATGAAGGGAACCCATTACAGCTTTACAACTTTCAATAAATGAGAACCTCATGGAAAATTTGAAAAATATGAAAAAGCACAAAAAGAAAAACTAACTACTAAAAGCATCATTTATCTTTTTCTCCTCTTTTTTCTTTATATAGATAGATACAGGTATAGATAAAGGTCTGTTTCATAATCTGATTTTTTTTCACACAGGCATGTATACATGTACAAACATAACAAACATTTTCTGGCATTCTATTATTATTATATCATACAGCTGTACCATAATTTACAGAGCCAGTCCCTATCCTGAAAATTTGCATTATTTCTTATTTTTGTTGTTATGATATAACGAATATGTCTGTGAATATCTCAGGCACTGGATATGTCTCTCACTATTTCAATGAATAAATCTCTAAAAGTGGATTTGCTGAATAAAAAGGTATAGGCATTTAACAGAGCCCTAGCAGAAATCAGGTGGTATACTCAGGGGAATAAACAAAGAAAAATTAATGAAGGAGTTATTTACAAAGATGTGGGTAAGTTTAAGGTCCACCAATAAAGGATGATACAGTACCATGGGTCTAACAACAGTGGAAAAAGCCATTAGTATCTGAATTACTTTCCATTGCCTCTCTATCAAATTACTACAAACTAGTAACACATATTTGTGCTTAGAATAGCACAAATTTATTATCAGACTGGAAAGTTGGAAGTCTCCCTGGCTAAAATAAAGTGTCCACTGGGTTGAGTTGCCTCTAGAAGCTATAGAGAATCTGTTTTGTCTTTTTTTCCAAATTCTAGAAACTTCCTGCATCTCTTGGCTAGTGGCTCTCTTCCATCCTCAAATCCAGCAATCACGTCAGTCAGACCTGTGTTTCCTTCATCGTATCTCCAACTCTAGCTTTGATCTCCCGCCTCCCACTTAGAAGGACCATTGCAATTACACTGGGTCCACCCACATAATACAGGATAAACAATGCATTGCCAAACCTTTAACTTAATCACATCTACAAAGTCCCTTTTTTGAAGTAAGGCATCATGTTCACAGGTTCCAGAGATAAGAATATAAACATCTTTGTGTCACCATTACTCTGACTCCCACGCCGCTCTAGCCCTGCAAATCAAAGGGGCAGGCAGGAACGGAACCTGGAAAATGCTGCAGAGCCAGAGCCTCCCAACAGGAACTGTGACTTAGGACAGATGATAGAGGCCCTGTCAGTGACCAGACAGGGAGCCAGAGAGAGCATAAGTACTCAGAATTCTCTCCTCTCCTAACTAGACCACCCAATTGGTTAAACCAAATGGAAACTAGAGGGTAAGAAAACCCAGATAATGTGGGCCAGAGAGGTCAGCCTCATGGGGCACACCACATGGTAAGAAAGGGTGGAAAATAGATCCAGAGAACTGGATGGAAACTATCCAGCAAATCTTTCCAGAACTGTGCACATGCAGGGAATGATAGAGCCCTTCTATTTGCACTCTGGTCATCATAACTCTCTGGTGATGATGGAGAAATTTAGGTTTTTTGAATTAATTCCTATTCCATGAAAAAAATAAGTCTTTAAAAAGAATCACACTGGAATACTAGAGACGAGTACATTTTACACCATGTATTCTGTCCAACACGAACAAGTTTCCAATTGGCTTTATAATGGTCCAGCAAATGCCGTCAGAAA